TGTGCCAGAGCTTGTGACTGACCCAAGGTCACATCAGCAGGTGCAAGTGGAGGAGTGGGGAATCAAACCCGGTTCTCCCAGATTAGAGTCCGCGCACTTAACCACTACACCAAACTGGCTCTCAACCAACAAAGTTGAATTCTGGATATAAGCTTTCGTGTGCATCTGCAGAAGTGTGTGTGCACACGAAAGCTTATACCCAGAATTAAACTTGTTGGTCTTAAACTTTGTTCTATTGCTTCCGACTAACACAGCTACCCACATGAATCAGTTTTGCATAGTTATCAAAATGGTATGTGGATATTACAAAGGATGTTATTGTTATGAGGTTTTGGAGAACAGGTAGCTGTTTGTTATTAGTTAATGTCTGCACTTTTGTTGTTGTTCAGTCGCACAGTCGAGTCCGAATCTTCGCGACCCCATGGACCACATCACACCAGGCCCTCCTGTCTTCCGTCGTGCTTCGGAGTTTGCTTAATTTCATGTTCGTTGCAACGATAACACTGTCTAACCATCTCATCCCTTGCCGTCCCCTTCTTCTTTGACCTTCAATCTTTCCCAGCATCAGGGTCTTCTCCAGTGAATGCTGCCTTCTCATTTGGTGGTCAAAGTATTTGAGCTTCAGCATCTGGCCTTTCAGGGAACAGTCAGGGATGATTTCTTTTAGGATTGACTCATTTAATCTCCTTGCAGTCCACGGGACTCTCAAGAGTCTTCTCCAGCACCATTATTCAAAAGAATCTATTCTTCGGCGCTCAGCCTTCTGCACTAGGAATGTGCATTTGGCTTGGCTGAGCTGAATAAAACCCCAAATATTGGCCTATTAGGGGCAGGATGGAGCCGAATCAGATTCTCTGATCTGATTCAGCTTGCCAAATACAGCATCCTCGAATACCACTGAAACTATTCAGCAAGTATTTGGGCCTCCGAATAGCAGTGGGAAAGGGGTTTAAACTTTAAATGAGCAGCACTTACCTCCTTTTCTCGCCTCTTCCTTTGCTTCCCTGGGCTAAGGGGAGGAGGGGGAGGAGGAAGAGGGGACCTCACATCCTATCACTGCCATGCATTTGCAAATTGCAAATGCATTGTGCAGCTTTGCAAGGCTGGTGTGGCTGCTGGGCTACCGCAGCCAGCAAAGCACCACCTACCTTGCTTGGGAGGGGGGAGGGAGAACTTGCAATTCTGCCAATGGAATTGCAAGTTGCAATGCTCTATGACCAATCGCAGGACAGTGTTGTTGTTTTTTTCAAACTCTTCTGTGCATGGGCAGAGAGCATTTAAGCAGCAGGAGTCCTGCCTAGTGGCTAGACTACATTTTGGCTGGCTGCTTGGCTGGAGATTGCTGGCTTTGGCTCTTCAGCTGCCTGCTGCTGCTCTGCGTGGCCTGCCTTTCTCTCTCACTTGCGGTGTGGATTGTAGAGTGGACTGCCTGATTGGACTGAAATCTGAGATACCCAAAAATCAAAAACAACCCCGGTAAAAAGGTTGGCATCCTTTTCCAACAGACCTGGGAATGAAAAAATGACACCCTGTACATGTCTCGCAAAGCCAAACCTCTTAACAAACCAGTTTTGTAAGTCACACATTTGTAATCTAGCTAGAGGTATAACTACCATGGTGAAAGCCATCAGTCCAAGCAGGCACTGCATGGACTTGATGGGTTGCCACCATTTTCTAAGGAAGGTAGCAGCCATAGTTTTGGTGGGTTTGCCCTTGTCTCCAGGTAGGAAGGCCCTAGCATGTATGGAATCAAGGGATGCCCCTGTAAACGGAACCAAGTGAGACAGCTCCAAATGAGACTTTTCCCTATTAACCACTAGTCCAAACCTCTGACAAGTAGAAAGGACCAAATCTACATGGGTCCTTAGCTGCTCTCTAGAAGATGTGACAATGAGCCAGTTGTCAAGATAGGGGGAAACGTTGCAGCTCTGTGTTCGCAAATGGGCCTCTACCCACCCACAATGCACTTGGTGAAGACCCTAGAGGGGCTGTAGCAAGACCAAATGGGAGGATGGGATATTGGAAAACCTCAGAGCTGTACCTAAATCTAAGGTACTTCCTATGTGAAGGAGATATGGCAATAGGAAAGTAGGCATCTTTAAGGTCTAGCACCACAAACCAAAAGTTTGGCACGAGGAACTCAATGACAGACCAAAGCAAGACCATTTGAAATTCAGACCCCTTCAAAAACTTGTTTAATTTCCTTAAATCAAGGATGGGTCTATGATCCCATCTATTTTGTCAGTGAGAAAAAAACTTGAATGAAAACTTCATGACTGGAGACCCATGGGAATCTTTTCAACTGCTCCCTTCTTCAAGAGCTCCTGAAGCTGTAACCAGCACTCAGGGTAAGGATCGTCAACTGGTGCCAAGGTAGAAGAACAGGAGGGGAATGAAGTAAACTCTAAAAAATACCCACTATGAACTACAGCCAGGACCTAACTATCGGAGCAGATAGATTGCCACTCATCACTGAAATGAGCTAGCCTGTAACAGAAGCAGGGCCCTTCTGCCTCCAAGGGAATGAATAGTCAAAATTTTGACATCTGCTGACTTTGATTTCTCTGGGGTGGTTGCTGGCCTCCAAACCTAGGCCATGCAGTGCTCTTTCTTTTATGGAAGGAGGAAGGCTTGTGAGAAAACTGTGGAACCCTTGAAAGGGAGGTCCTCTACTCTACAGAGCATTTCCAGAGGGAGGGCTGTAGTGTGCAGCCATGAGTGCCTTCTCAAAACAATAGCCGAGGCCATAGATTGGATAAGCTTGGCCAGCAATCAAGGCTCCTTAGGGAGGGTATTAAGCTACTGCAAAAGCTTTTCTCACAGGAAGAGCTGGTGGCCCCCCATAATGGCCTGATCATTCATGATCCTAAAGTTTAGAGTTGCCAAGGAATATAGTTTATGTCTCAAGAGAGTCTAGACTTCTCGTCTCCCTGTCAGATGGACCTGTCTTTGGCACATCTGCATCTCTTCAGGGACAAGGGAAGAAGATGGCGGTGGGTGGATAAGAATGTGCAGGGATCCTGCTTGACTTTGTATATGTTTTCCACTCTATGGAAGGTGGCTGGTGTGGATGCAGGCTTTTGCCAGATTGGGACTGTGCGGTCAGATAGGCCTTCTAAGATGGGGAAGGCCACAATACCAGGAGAGTCAGGGTAAAGACAACTAAGGATTTTATCTTTCAGCTGTGGTGACATCGATGTCCAATGCTTTGGCCATTCTCAAAAAAGAGCAGCCTTTAAAATGGTATGTTCTGTCAGAACACACCTTAGGAGTGAACCCCTGACAGATTTAGCAGGTTTAGCAGATGGCCACATTGTGAGCCTCTCCCAAACACATGAGGCATAAATCGTGTTTGTTACTGTGGGTCATTTTGGTAGCACACTGGATACATTTTTTTAAAGAGAGCCTTGGTAGACATGACAAGGGCTTAATAAGCTCCGCAGAGGGAGAATGGAAAGACGAAGGCCCCCGGGGGGGGGGGGAAATAGGTTGACAAAAGACACCTCACCCACAATGAAGAGAACTTCTCAAGTCCAGAGAGTCAGTCAATCTACAAAATGGAAGCCTGTGCCTCAAAGTCAGGAAAAAGGTGCAAAAAGCATGAAGATAAGACGATGACAGAGACTTCTATATGCACAATAGCCAGGAACATCCTATCTATTTGGCTGAAGAAAAGGAAATGTTGGGAAACAGGGCACTCTCCTCCAGAGTACGTGACAGGCGGGAAAAAGCCGTCACAGCTGCTCTAAAGGGGAGAGGTGCCCCTTTCATTTCCTAAAAACTAAGACTGCGTGTACGTGCAGTCCTGATGTGGGGCTGCACAGAAGTCAGAAGATGGAGAGGATTAAAGAGGACATAAGGGCAAGGAAATTCACACTTCTAAAAAGCAAGCCATCCTCAGTCTGTGATAGGGTGCACATTTCAATGCAGTCTTCATCAACATTTCCAAGACATCACTCAAATTTAGCTAATTTGAAAAACCCAGGCTATAATTAAGGATTTTCAATACCTACATGCTCCAATGATTTCTGAAAGCCAACAACTGCCCGACATAAAATTGGTATTTCTAAATACCAAGTCACACACCTGGCATCACTGCAAAGTTCCCTCATATTACTCTCAATTAGAGCATGTGAGGGAAATACACGTGTTCATGTTTCCATTACAGTGGATTTCGTACACAGCGGATTTTTTATGTGAACACCAACAAGCATCCAATGATGTATGCATATAGAAAATTTAGAGGCACTTACCACTGCACCTGAAAGCAGCCTTGGAGGATAGTGATTGAAGAGAAAAATCCAAAATGTTCAAAATTTAGTATTTTTACAATGCAAAACAAAAGACAATCAAAAGCTCTCAACTCTATTTTTAAGCATCTTAACTTTAAGTTTATATATAAAATCTGTTGACCCTTATGGATGTCTCTTAGAATAAAAAGCTACTTACTCCCTCACCCCACATTAAAATAAACCTGAAATCCTAGAAACAAACATTTTAAAATTTAAGTGTACACTGTAAATTTAGGTCTCAGATTTTCTTAAAGATAAAACCCAAGCTGATTTAGCATACAAATTACTTCTCCTTTATGGTGATTTCTTGAAGAGTCAGTACATTTATGTTGCTAACCTATTTCTAGAGACAAAAGAGATGTTCCTGGTAAGCACCATAGCTGTAACACTCCATGCTCTTGGAAACCAATGAAACATCCCTTATATAGGCTTCCCCATAAGATATTTTGATAATCCTGAATCAGTCACTAGAACTGTTTGCACACCACTCCTGAAAGAAGAACAAATATTCATATGGTAACATAGATATAATAAACCCATTTGACAACTAGCAAATCTGGACATTAACTATAAAGGTCATCCGCTTGTACAAGAGCAATAAAAAATTAAATATTTATTCAAATAAGCTTAAGTTCAGGCTGCAATGTTGGCAATGTAGATTTTTAAACACATCACAAAAGCGTGCGCAAACATTAATTTGAGCAGAAAACAAAAATAGTAAGCCTTATACTAGACAGCTGCTGATTTTAAGAAAACAAAAAGATTTATAATAACTATACAAAATATAAAATGTATCAAACACTACCATCCACAGAACAGGTTTTTTAATTGGTTATATTTAAAAATTACTTGTGTAGTTAATTATATAGTGAATTGCAAATGATTATACGAGAACCTCCTTTCGGTTGGCAATATTGTGTTGCTCTATAGCACACCAAATCACGTTGCAAAACTGAGCATCATTATTTATACCATCAATAAAGAAACAATTATTGATAATACAAGTAAATATTTGATCTACAAAGAACAAAATTATTTTTCCTTCAGCTTGGAAGTGCTTTCCATGCAAAGTCAGTACTTGCTTGTTTCAAACAGAATGTACTACCAAGCAATGTCCAGGGTTGTTGATGCTCATAAAACTAAATTTTACAAATCAAAGATTGAATGTTAATCATGCAACCCTCTTTGCTACTGGATAAAACCACTATGCAGCACTTATCAGATTTATTGCCTTTCTGGAATTTCATTCAAGGCATCCAAAATTAGGCCTAACGATAAATATACATATAATGGAAATGGTCACAAACTATTTGATACCACTACTGGTAATGTCTGTGCTACATGAAAGCACCTCTTAAAAAAGAGCCTATGCGGCAAGAGATAAGTGTCTAAAGATTCAAAATGAATCAACAGTATTGGATAACAATATAATTCTCAACTCAGAAGCTGCCTCAAGATTAGATGCATCTTCAGTTAATGTAACAGGAAAAAAAGGCAATGGGTTTTATTTTATTTAATGCATCCACTCGAACTGACCTAAGGCCACCAGATTTGCAGACACAATGTGTTCCTTCTTCTCTTTTTGCAATTTTTAGGCTGTTAAAATGATAAAGGAGACCTATTGAAAAAGAAAAACAAAAACAGCTATTTTGTCTAGATTAAGAAGTTGCGCCAGGCGTTGGGTTCACATTCTGAGTGGCGACTTGCGGTGCAACTTCAATTATTCGTGGTTTGTCTATAATTCTGGCAGTACGATTGCCCTTTTCTACAATCCCAATGATCCACGCTTGGTGTCCTTCACCATATTTTGGAGACTTGATTTCAGCACAGAAGCGTGCTGCTTGTTCACGAGGTAAACAGATAAGAAGGCCCCCTGAAAAGAAGAACAATCGATAAATTAGCTTCTGCTTACATTTCATGGGATAAACATGGCTTGCTCAATAGCATGCCCAGATAACAGGATAATCTCTTTGTGGACAATAGTGACTCCACTTCTCTGACCACTTCCCCTACGTTAACACCACACTGGCACCTAGTGGTGGGTTTCAGTGATAATGTACTAAAGTCAAGTACTGCATCTGTGTTAGTAAATTGTTTGATATTAAAAAATCAGAGAGTGAAAGAGAGGCTAACTGACTAGGCACTGAGAACCACCCAGGGTTGAAGCAGCAATATGGGTTTTCTGGGGAAATTACTGGATGCTTTAAACAGAACATTATATGATTTAGCATATTTCTTTTGATTTATACTTTGTCGACAAAATTTTAAAAGTACCTCATGCTAATTTTGTCTTCCAACAGAAACAAATATTTAAACTGTAATATTTAATTAGGAAAAAACCAAATCAAGTGTGGTTCGAATGTTATGTTCAAACAAATCCAAAGCTTAATGTGAATTTTTAAAATTGTGATAATAGTTTAAAGAACTGAAGCCTGTATTCTCCTTACATTGTTTAAGGAGAAAAAAAGAATGCAATGAAAACTGGGCATGCTCATTTTACCATGCCCAAAGAACTGTGCATGATATGCCATGGACATGGCTATCCACTCATTTTAACAGAATTTAATTTTTGTCTGCAAAAGTCACTGGAGCACCTAATCACTTATATTACTAGTTTGTTCCCTGTGATATTATTACAATATCCCTTCCACCACGTGGAGACTTATGTTTTTATTTGTTTCATTATACATATTTGTGGGTTTTGGTTCCCCCACCCCACCTCCAGTGTACAAATCAGTAAAACTCTCCTACACAATTCCTGGAAATAATTACTTGAAAAACATTAATTACGTAACCCTTTATTAACTGAAGTAACCACTAGTTTTGAAATACGGAGTCAAACAGTGTGTGTGCATATACAAACACAGACTTGCTACCTGCATTTACAAAGGTACAAGCAATGTATGCCCAAATAGGAGACTAGAATATGAAGGAAAGAAATGCCAGAGTACAACATCTAGTACTTACACAGCAGATGTGGTGCCATCTAGTGACCCGCTGTTAGAAATTCTGGCAGCATTTTATGCCAAAAAGAGATAATAAAAAGATTTCTAATGGAATGTACCTAGTGGTGTCAGGCATTCTCCCTTCTACAAGGGTTTAATGTTTTAGTTGCTTTAAATATTAGAAAACTCCTTTATTTTCTTTTACCACTTATCCTGCCTTTCTGCTCTCATAAGGCAATGTACTTAATCCTCTATAAACTGGTTTTACAAAATAAAAAGTAATAATATTGGTCCAACACAGGTCTTAATGTTGATTTATTTCACATGTGTGGCCACAACCAAATTCTTGAGGAGAAAAAGCATTATAAAAGGATTTACCTGAAGTCTCAGGACATGTCCCATGCATGAGACCAAACATATTGCCACATGCTTTGCTAACTGCAGCCATTTTGGCAAGAACAGGAAGGTTATGTATAACAAAAGACACTTCATTGCGCTGCTGTTTTGCTAGATTCTGCGCATGTCCCAGGATTCCAAAACCTGTAATGTCTGTGGCTGCATGTGCATTGAACGTGTGCATGAGCCCTGCAGCTAGAAACAAAAAACAGGAGAAAACATTATGCAAACCAGAGTACCACTTTTGAGCTGGTTGTTCACAGTTCTATCCACTATATAATTTCAATTAAATATGAAGCATTTAATGAACTGCCTAAATTCTATCCTTTCCTGCCTTCCCCATCTCAAAGTAGTCATTTATGCCCACTCCGAATATTGTGCTCCATGGGTCATTGGACCTTCCGGAAATCACAGTGATCAAAGCAGGAGGCTGCAGGGGGAGGGCAAGGCACTGGCAAAAAACCCCTCCCTCCTGCAAGCAGTAGTGCTTAGCCCAAGCGGAAAGGAAGCTTAGGATCCAAGCCATATAATTTAGGTGTGTGTGTGTGATTTTATTGCTGCTATGTGAATTTGGACTGAGGCTGTTACTTTACTGGTGAGATGGGACAATATTGTATGGTTTTATTATTTTTAGTGTTGGCATACTGTAGGATGTTTTTATAAATTCCTTTGAGCTCAACAGCTGGGAAAAGTGATCTGTGAGTATTTTATTAAATAAATTTATACAGGTGCTGTGATCCTTAAGATGACTGTTTCTCAGTAAGTGTATCTTGCAATGTAAGCCAGCATCTCGGATCATTTTCTCAACTATCAAAAGCAGCAGTCTGAACTGCTCTTGTTTCTACATATCATACTGATGTGTAGAAAGAGCAAACTTTGTAGCCTTATATCTATTAGCATGGCAGTGAAACAGCCCCCCACCCCATCCACACGTTTCAGCATATTTGGACTTCCCAGGAATATAGGAAAATGTTTGTAAATGAGATGTCCCCCATCCCCAGAACAGCCCAGTAATGGCTGAAGACACATGTTTGTTTTACGGTCAGTGGGTGCACTCTATGAAGCATACAACATTTGATCGTAAAGTTCCACTACCACCACCTTTCTGAAACTTTTGAAGACAGAAGCATCAGAGGATGGTCTGGTATTGAAAAATATTTTCCCTGACCCTGAAGTTTCTTTTTGTTAGGGGCTCAACCCTTGGATTAGGGTACACATTCCCCAGCCTCTCCAAGATACTGTGAGCAAGGGAAGGCTTCCCACACTGAACATCTCAGGTTTGGGGACAAACAGTTTCCCACTTGGCAGTGAAATACTGTAGGGACAGACTGCTGAAGCTTAGTGAGGGGGATGCTATTCATTCAGCCCTGGAGCTCAGCAGTCTTGCATTACTGAAGGGAGTGAGGAATTTCCAAATACTTTACTTCTCACAATTACCTAACCAGTGGAGACTAGCCCAAGATTAATCAACTGAGCTTCATGGCAATGCCATCCTGACCAGAGGTATGCCTTTGTGAGCCCACTGACTTTTAAGGACTTAAGAAGGGTATAATTGTGCTAAGGGTGGCACTGTGAGTCTCCTCTGGTCATAATTCAACACTTCAGCCACTGTTTCCAACTGGCTTAATTATGCAACTATACAACTGGTTTAACGATTTCACATTAACTTGTTTCACACTGGCTTAACTATCTTAACAATTAAGGACTAGGTGAGAAGTGTTTCACTTGTTACCTATCTGAGCAAGAGATAAGATTGTTCAAATAGGTTAAGATGTGCTACAGCAAAGGGCTTTAATACATTCCCTCATCCAAAACAAGAGTAATGAGTAATCCAATGTTGTTAGTCTGTTCACATGAGACTAGAGTAGCTTACTTTTTTGCCATTGGTAAACGTAAATTCCTTTTTAAAAATACATCCGCAACAGAAAGCTATCTAATACATATTATGCAGTCTCTGTAGCTTATTAAGTGCCACTGTAAGAAATAATTAGCCATAAGCAGAGTGGTTTTTTGCTGTTACCCAACAATGAGCTATTATTGGATCATTGAGGGCAAATGCTTATTATGTCAGGACTATAAAGTTTATAATATCATGTCACCTTGCTGCAACTTTGAGTTCCCAAGCTTGGTGTCTGAACTGATGTGAATTTTGACACGCCAGAAAAAATTAATGTCTAAGCATTGGTATAATCAGATGACAGCTGAAGCAGAATACAGCATATCAGTATTAAATAACATTCTCTATCATTTCATTAAAAAATAGTGTCCCCATGATGCGGGTCATAAATTCTAACAGTCTGAATGCTCATGCCCATCAGCTACATGTTTCCAAAACCTGACTGTAGGCCATGGCCCTTTTAACTTAAAGCATTACAATCTCAAACCTAGAACAAAGGGCCACAAGAACTAAGCGCTGAGGCAACCCTTCCTGCCCTCCCTCTCATGATCTGCCTAAGTTCACAGAATCAGCATTGCTGTCAGATGGCCATCTAGCCTCTGTGTGAAAACCTCCAAAGATGGAGAGCCCACCACCTCCCAAGGAAGCCTGTTCCACTGAGGAACCACTCTGTCAGGACGTTCTTCCTGATGTTTAGCTGAAAACTCTTCTGATTTAATTTCAACCCATTGGTTCTGGTCCGACCTTCTGGGGCAACAGAAAACAACTCCATACCATCCTCTGTATGACAGCCCTTCAAGTATTTAAAGATGGTTATCATATCACCTCTCAGGCGTCTCCTCTTCAGGCTAAACATACCCAGGTCCTTCAACCTTTCCTCATAGGACTTGGTCTCCAGACCTTCATTGCTCTCCTCTGGACACGTTCTAGCTTGTCTATATCCTTCTTAAATTATGGTGCCCAAAACTGAACACAATACTCTAGGTGATATCTAACCAGAGCAGAGTAAAGTGGTACCATCATTTCGCATGATCTGGACACTACTTCTGTTGATACAGCCCAAAATCACATTTGTCTTTTTAGCTACCACATCACACTGCTGACTCATGTTCAGTCTATGGTCTACTAAGACCCCTAGATCCTTTTCACACATACTACTGCTTTGCTTCTCTGGCACAGGGACAAACAGCAGAAGCACGGAGAGCTGAGGTTGGTGGGGACCAGAAACAGCTTTTTCAGCGGCGGAACCTCGTTGATGGAATGTTCTTTGTTCTGAGGATCAGCTGGCACCCACCCTATTTTTGTCCCAAGACAAACCATTTCTTTTTTTTAATTAAGGGACTGATATTTTAAAGTTCTTATAGTCTATAATCATAGAGTTGGAAGGCACCTCCAGGGTCATCTAGTCCAACCCCCTGCACAAGGCAGGAAATTCACAAATACCTCCCCCCCTCCACATCCACAGTGACCGCTGTTCCACACCCAGAAGATAACAAAAAACCTCCAGGATCCCTGGGCCAAACCAGCCTGGAGAAGAACTGCTTCCTGACCCCAAAGTGTTTTTAAAAAGCATTAAATGCTTTGGGTTGTTTTTATGCTATGGATAGGTTTTGAACAGAAGAGGTAGCATCTTGTTCTTAGGTCCTCTAAATCCTACTTCCGACATGCAAAGGAAAAGACAGATCTCCAAGTTTTGATTATCAAAATACTGTGAAGCATGTCTATATTCCTGAGAACTTTGAAAATCTGATTTATAGAATAAATGTAATGCAACATCAATACTTTCTAGGTTCCAATACATTAAATATACATTTTATCAATTATAATCTACCAGATTCTAGCCTTATAAACAGACCATGTGGGCATTAAAAAAATTATTCACTCCAGTGATTTATCTCGTTTTATTTCCCCAAAGTTCAAGACATTCTCGTACCTGTTCTATTGAGCCGTGCCATATTCATCATTGCTTCTTGATATGCTAGCTCCACATCTTCTTGTGTGACAACCAATTTGATTTTATTCCATTTTTCTGGCTATTGTGAAGAAAAAACAAGATTCATTTGTCTATACTGCTGGCAGTATAAGCATAGTTACGCATACTAATTCTGCATGTGGGGCAGTTATTTGATTACCAAATGAATGCAAGACACTGTTTGATATAGCTATTATTTTATTCAGCTGACTTCTGTATAACCATGCAAATACCCTGCACATATCAGTCTACAAATGCTAAAGGCTGGAAACTAGGAGTAGTGAGGAATCAAGACATACTCCAATGCTGCAGTCACATATCGAAACAAGAGACAGAATCCATTAATGCCAAGTGCCCCATCCAAGTAGATCAAAGGCTTTCAAACAATTCAGGTCCAATCAGCATTCCAACATCCAGTCATGGATATGCAACAAACAACTGCTATGCAGTGTATAAATGGTTTACAGCACCACCTTAACCCTGGAGACCAGCTCATCTCCAACATAGGTAGTTACTCTCTCATTGGAGGAAAGGTATTTTCTGAAAGATCCGCTTCCAAGTAACAGAGAGCACAAAAACTGCAGTGGAATCCACAGTGACACTGCCCCCCCCCAATCATGTTAGACATAGTCTGAAACAGCAAATCAATATAGCAATGCCAGCCCTATCTCCTTGACCCTAACCTACCCTCTCACAAAAAGATTCAGGTCCCAGAGAAAAAAGGGAAGAATGACCCAGGGTGCAGTTTTTTGCAAGGCAAGGGAGCAGCAAGGATAGCAACAAAAGGACACACAGCAGAAGTCATCCCTGTCATCTCCCCAACAGCTCACTGGGGTAAGCACTTATGTAGAAAAGACGAGGCTCAAATCCAAGCAATAGGGAAGAGGAAAACACAGAGTAAGACAAGCTTCACCTATGGGTCAGCAACAGACAAAACAGAAGACAGAGGCAGTTCTAGAACAGACACCTCACACACTGCAGTTCATCTAACCACACACTCAACTGGACCCACAGGAAGAAGACTCTCATGAGGAATTTCAAATTCTCTGTTAGTACTGGTGTTAAAACCATAGTGAGCATAAAATACTGAGAAGGCCGTTGCTGTTCCACTGTGCTATACTATAGTATGCATGAGGTGCCTGGTTGAAAACCCACATGGGACTAGGTACCACACAGTCCAGCTAGGAATCTCCATCACATCAAACTCTCTGCTTAACATCTTCCTATGTAACAATTCTTGCACTGCATTTAAAAGGCTAGTTACCACTGTCTGTTGCTATTCATTCCACAACCCTTGTTCTCCAGCTCCCCCCCCCCTGCAGCTTGCATAGCTTATATAGCAAACCAGCGATGCTCAGGGGGGACTGTGAACCCCAAGGACCCTGTCCCTCCTCCTGCCTACAGTAGATGATTTTTTCAGCCCCTCCCCCCAGTGCAAATTCCATGATGAAGAAAGCCAAGGACAGTTAGAAGTAAGCAGAAGGAATTGATCCCTAACTCCCACATTTAAACAGACACACAGCTATGAAACAATCCATAGATTTATTGAACAGTATAAAGGATGGAAGTCAGACCAATGGGGTCATCGGTTCTTATGTCCTAGCAAGGCTCCTGTGACTTCAGGGTCACAGGTAGAGCTGTCCCGATCACTGCACAGCCCCTGGTGGGACAACTGTGCTGTGAAACAACCGCTAGTTAAGCAGCTTGCAAGGATGCAGGAGCCAGGCTAGAATGAGAGAAGAGCAGCTAAATGCACATTGGTCCACTGCATGTTGAACATTCAGCAGCTGGTTGGCACCGCACTGTTAATGGGGGTCCATTCTGCATCTGTTGGAAAGTGGCCTACAAACAGCAAAAAAAAAAAGAAAAGACAAAAGAAGTGATGTTCAGCAACAACCAAAAAGTGGTGCTGTTTATGTTCCTGTAACTCCCCTCCCACCTTGGGGGATCCAAAACAGTGGGATTCACCTGTGCTAAGAGAGTGGTCATCACTGGGCCAATACTTACCCACATGAGGGATTTGATTTGGAAGTCTGATTCAAACTTTTTGGGGCACCTTCATAAGGCTCTGATCCTGCAAGGCAAAGGGTGTCATGAACATCTGGCCAGCAGTAGCAGCAGAAGTAGCTGGTGGTCACTTAGAAATGCAAGAGTAGTCACCGTCTCCCCTGCATGTGGGGTTACAATTAATTGGGGTGCCCCCCCATTCTATACTATGAATTCTTACCCTGCAAGCAGTAACTCACAAAAGCTCATACCCTGCCACAAATTGTGTTAGTCTTTAAGGCGTTACTGGACTCTTGCTCTTTTCTACCAGTACCCCGTGAGGGAAATAGTGTTAGCCACGGTTGATGAAGAAGGGCTGCCCAGCCAATATGGGGAGGGGGGGACTTTTCAGCAGTTCCAAGTCTGAGGCACTCCCTTGATTTCTTACCTGTGTGGAATACACTGTCCTTGCATCCCCAGTTCAGTGCTTGGGACCTGAGCTGGAGTACCTGTAAGGATTCTGAGCAGAACAATGTTAGCAATATGCTGAAACAATGTTTGGACTTCTGCCTGGCTATCTGAGCCAAATGCTCCTTTGAGTTCCCATCACTAAGGTCTGCCACCCCACCTACTGTGTATGACATGACAACCCCGTGCCCTACTATATGAGATACGGGGTGTCCTACCTCAAGTTTACAAAATGCTTAGGACAACATTTCTCAACTTGTGGGCTGTGAAGCCTGTGTAACTGAGTCCCAGGCTTTAGCTGTTTTCTTAATTTGTTTACACTGATTTTTCAAGTAGGTCACCATACCAAGTAAATTTGGACTTCACATATAGGGGTGTGCGTTTGGTATAAACCAAACCAAATAAATACCCAAAAAATACCTCATTATACTGATATGGCTCAGCCTAAAAAAACCTAACCTTTTATGGCTTTTATTCGGGCAAGCCAGCCTCAGCTGAAGCAGCATGGAGCTCTCAGCTCCATGCCACTCCAGCTGATCCTCTTTTGCACCTCCGAGCTGCAAGAGACGATTAGCTGGGGCAGCACAGAGGCACAACTCTACACCGTCTTGGCTGGGACTGGCTGGAGCAAGCTCAGGATCAACTGGGGCAGCAGGAGCTAACAGTTCTGTGTCATGCCAGCTGATCCTCCCTTGCCCACAGCCTTGGCTGGGGCTCTGCTAGGCAGCCCAGTTAAAACTGGACTGCCCAACAGAGCTGCAAAGAAGCCGATCCTGCAGGGAGAACTCTCCCCAAGGCCTGCAGAAAGGAAGAGGAGGGAGATTTGAGATCGTCCCTCCCTCCTTTCTGCTGGCCTCAGCTGGGGCTGGATGGTTCTTCTTGCAGCTTGGTTTAAACCAAGCTGTAAGCAGAGCCAGTGAAGTATTGGCCGGGGTGGCGGAAACTGTCAGTTCTTCCAGAGGTACATCTTGAGGAGGTCCACTGCCAGTTTGATGCCACTAGCTGACAGGGGGGCCATTCGACTTACCCCCTTTTGTACAGGGACTCTAGGATTCCCCCCCCCCCAGCCAATCTGCACACAACTTGGTGGGACAGTCCCTTCAAATGTGTCTTGCAAGCTACAGCACGAGTGAACCTGGAAGGATAAATCGTCTGGGTTCACTCGTGCCGTGGCTTGCAAAACGCTTTGAAAGGGATGGTCTCTT